TCTCACGTGGTGCCGAAGTCTTTTGTCAGCTCGGTACCTTAGGCCCTTAGACTTTGGGAGCGACTCGCAGTCCACTCTCCTTACCCTTGATTTTGCCCATGCCGAAGAGGCGACTGGGTCTTATGTGGTGTCGAGGTCTTTTATCAATTCAGCACTTTAGCCTTTAGGCTCTGGGAGCGACTCATAGTCCACTCTCCTTACCCTTGGTTTTGCCCATGTCGAAGAGGCGACGGAGTCTTATGTGGTGCCGAGGTCTTTTATTAGTTCGAAACTTTGGTGTTATGGCTGCGCTGCATCAGCCTCGTTAGTGACGCCGGTCACCCATTCCTACAAAAAGCTACTGGGAGATCGACCTATGGGGGCAACACTACTGACTTTAGGTCACCAGCTCGCATGGGAGCCCTTGAAGGCTCGACCGTTAGGGGCGTCCATGCAGTCCGTTGGCTGCCAACTCCCACGGAAGCCACGAAGAGCTCATCTTGTAAAGGGTATCTCGCGAAGAGGATTAATGAGGCTTTATCCGAGTTGAAATAAAGTCGGTAGAGCTACTTAGTCTGTTGGCCACTTCCTGGATAGTCTTTGAGTTCATAAAAAATGGAAATTAGAAAGTGAGATCTTTAGTTTCTAAAAGGTGAGAACTTAGCTTTTTGGAAGAAGAGGGCTTAGCCTTTCAGAAGATGAGAACTTAGCTTTTTGTAGTGTTTCCCACAAACGGCGCCAATTGATGAATCAATTTTTTGTGCTGAGTACCTCGTCATTCGGTCTGATTCCAAGTGGCCAATGAGTCAGAGGCCGAAGTGTGAGGACCTGGATGCCGAGCTGACCAAGCCGAGTTGGGAGTGGACTAGGTGCCGAGCTGACCAGGCCGAGCTGGGGGCTGGCTAGGTGCTGAGCTGACTGGTGGCGAGCTGGATTGATTGTTGAGCTTCGTAATTCTTTAGAGACCTTCAAGGAATCAATGTCAGAGGACCCGGGGTGCTTAACCCAGCGAGGTCGCTCCGATGCTTAAGTCAGTACTTTCATAGTAGACTGCGAGCTAAAAAATCATAAAGTATGAGAGCTAGAATATGCTTAGTTGCCCGTCCATGTCATTGGGGTTGGTACCTTTATATAGGCATTGTTTGGCGTGGGCTTTACGCACCGTATCCGAGATTTTCGCGAGGTCGTCTAAGTGGTTCGAGATTCTCGGAGGCAACCACCATCCATGTTGACCACCCTCTGGAATGTTCAATACGTGGGCCAACTTCCAAGGATTGTGGGAGTGTTGGGATATGCGTGCCGAATTTGTCGGCGAGCACGTATCGCAAGTCGCCACCTGGACCTCAGTCATGCCGACACGCCCTCGAGGGAGGTCGCTCCTTGCACCAAGGTCACTTCGACCAGTGACGAGGTGTTGCAGGTCAGCACTGGACGAGGTGCTTCTAGCTGACTTGAGTTGTGTTTGTGGTCGCTTGTTCGGCATAAAGGCTGGACGCCAGGTCGGCGTCAGTGCCAGGTCGCCAAGTCAGCGCCTGTGCCAGGTTGCCAGGTTGCCAAGTTGGCGCCTGTGCCAGGTCACCAGTTCGGGACACCATCATCTTGGCTAAGTTGTTGCCTAAGTGGTTCTAGGTGTCACCCAGTTGTTCCAAGATGCCATGTGTCACGATGTCATTGGAATGCCAAATCCGCCCTCATCAAAATCCAATTGAACAAAAAACAAGACTAATCCACAAACATTTAAAGTACCTCAATGGACGGTTCACACTTCTAAACTACTTGTCCTACTTAGGGTCCAGAGATGAAATGATTGCAATCTGACTTTTGAGTGAGTCCGACTTCAATCAGGGCAAAGCCCGTTCCAACAACCTTTACAACCTTGCGTTGAGAATATCTCCATAGTTATCTGATTTATTTCTTGGAAGATTTTCCCAATGCAAGGTTCCAAGGGGCTGCTCGAAGGGTGCGAGCACCGACTTTCCGTGATAGAAGCCAAACTCAAAGTTGTGGACGATCTACTTCGTTCAATGAGGAAGAGTGTACAGGGGAAAGAGGGAAGGAGGAGAGAGCAATTCAAGTTTCGTAAGTGTATTTTGCTTGGTTTTTAAAAATGAACAGGTGACCGAACCTATCAAGGGTCCGGTTACTGGTTTGAACGATTTGACCGTCGGGTCCGATCCGGTTTTGAAAACCATGATATTTTAGGAATTTCTCATTAAAGTTGGAGGTGGCGTTACAAGGGGCAATTTGGGTATTTCTTAAAATTATACTGACGTGGATGTTTTGCAGGTGGTCCCTGGAGTGACTTGAAATTTGTTAATCTCTGATGTGGCCTTGGGATGTTTCGATTTACCTATGTTGCTACCGCAGATAAAATTTTCTACGGTGACCTGATCCGTAAATTTTTCCATCCCTATTACTTCATAGCTTCTGCTGAATTTATCGAACATCTTGCAACATCTCCCAACTCCCATCATTCCTTTTACAAGCATCAAAGTATATATTGGTTTCATCTTATCTTGGTTCTTTCTATTTGATTCACAAATTAATTTTTCTTTTTTATCTAGATCGATTCTATTTAATTGAGATACTCCAATATCATGCCTATATTTCCACTGTTCCAACAGACCCCTATCCTCATTCATCTGATCCATGGTAAGCCACACTTCCTTTGCAATTGGGCACCTAACAGAGATGTGGTCTGTGTCTTCCTCCTCTCCACAAAATAAGCTGTTCAGATCAATGTTCATTCCCATTCTTCTCAATCTACTTTAGCTTAGGAATCTATCTTTTAATACGAGGTCTAAGAATACCAAAATTTTATGACATGTTATGTGGGTTTCGTTTGTGTTGATATTAATTTGAACCATACGTCTGAAAAGTGAAAAAAAAAATCTTCTTTTAGTTTTATCAAAAAGGCGGTTTGATTCATGGTTTTTAAAACCGAACCGGTTAGGGGTTCAGTTACCGGGTCAAACAGTCTGACCATTCAAATCGAATGCTTGGCCCATTTTGATAAAAAATAAAAATAAAAAATAATCAAAACCGTTTAAACAGTTTGAACAGTTAACCACCCGATTCAGCAGTTCGCTGACCAAAATCAACAGTTTTAGAGGAAAATCCGATTTTTGGAAAAAACAGAATCAATCACTTGACCGGTTTTCGGTTTTTTCGATCCAACCGTCCGGTCCAGTCCAGTTTTAAAAACCATGATTTGAATTCAATTTTCACTTTTATCAAGACCACTTAACTCTTTTTTTTTTCTTCATTGGATTTGATCCCGGGTCTCTGTGACAAGTAAGAAATCTCGAATCCTACTAACTGATCCACCATCAATTTTATCAAACACCATTAACTCTTGGCCAGAATCATTTCATCCTCTGCCTCCAAACCAAATTCCCTCTATCCGAAGGAATCTTTTTAAAAGTAACAGGTGCAATGACGTGCCTCTCTGTCACTCTTTCCTTCTCTTCTTTTTTTTATTCTCTTTTCTTTCACATTAAAATAAGAACCAAAACCAAGGGGTTAGTGTTGCTGCTTGGTTTGACGAAGAGATAATTGGAAGATGACCTGAAGACCACAATGCCTTTGGGGAAAGTGCATCTCTTTATAAAGGGGTCCTGGTTGTGGGAATAAAGGCTCTTATGACTGATCTAGGTCTACCACTCATGGTCGTGTTAACTGTTAAGTCACCTAATTAGGTGGTTACCTGGCCATTCGCCTGCTATTAATGCGTGGTAGTTATTGGTTTGACCTAATCTGCTTCTTACACCAACTTCACAGCAAATCCTAGACGAGTCTGATCTATTCCTCGTACCAATCTCACAACACGTTCTAGTCGCACATCAGGAATAACTCCTATATTTTGTGTTGTTATTAATGGAGAGATGTTCTTAATGCATGTGAGATGGCATTGTGAGGTCAGTGTAAAGAGCAAATCCCATACTAAAAAAATTGTATATTATTATTCATGGAGAGATAATTTTCAATACATAGGATTGATCATTGATATACTATAAAACAATCCAGATTTCTTACTCACTTTCTCTACCTGTACCTTATCTATAATACATTGAATCCGAATTTACTCTTCACAAAGCGTTTCTCGTATCAGTCTCACAACACATCTCAAACACACATCAAAAATATCTATATTTTATGTTGTTATTCATGAGGAAATATTCTCAATACATGGTGGGATGACACTATAAAATCGGTACGAGATGTGTAGCTGAGTTTTCAAGGCGGGTAGAGAGTAGTAGGAAGGAAATCCGGTTTGGCTGTGAAAATTATTCTGTGAGGAGCAAATCCGAATTCCGTGTGATGGGCAATTCCTCAATGAAACTCTCATTTCGCCCCGCTTTCTCTCTGTTTTAGTTCACTCCACGTGCATGCCTTGCCCAACGAACATTTTTCTAATGTCACTTTTCCACGCAAACCCACTGCTCTGACTCTGAGACTGAGACTCCCAGATGAGCTGTCTCTCCGCGTTTGGATTTGCGAAATGAAATCCATCAAACACACAATAAGACAAAAATCATTTCCATATCCAACTTCTTTCGTCTCAGGGCTTCTCCTGAGTCCTGACTTGTGAGTACAAAAACCAATTGCTCTGCAACTCTGCGTTTTGAGTTTTGACCAGCAGAAATTAAGCTAGACCAGTAAGCTCCAACCAGTGTCTCATCCCCATGTCAACCACGTATCGCAGTGAAAAAAAGCCTGACAGCCCCACATAATACCTGATACCAGTCGATTAGGATCTAGATTCTTGGTAGGACCCATCAAACATTTGATCAATCCACGTTGATTGTCAGTTCTCAGTCTACCATCGATACAAATTAGCATTTCATAGGAAAACAGATGCAAGAGAAGAAACCATGATGCAGTGGCAGCCGGTAAACGCTTTCTCGGTATGTTCTCAGGGACCATCATACTCGCTGCTCCTGATACCATCATTTACTTTCTTCTTTTTTATGCTTTTTTTAATAAAAAAATAAAAGCAAACAATCCATGCAAAAGAAAAATAGAAAAGAGAGGAAAAAAGAAGAATGGACCCGAATCAGATGCTCCCCCTCTCAGAAGAGACAAGTAATTAGTGGGATTCTCTGCACTGCAGGTCCAGAAAGACGTACAACACCCTAACTTTCCATCTCCACGCTTCATCTGCTTCACGCTCTCCTTCATTTTTTTTTTTAGTATTTTTATATTACAAAAAACATTTTCATAACGAAATTAATAAAATAAATAAAAAAGACAACGAAGAGATGGAGTGAGAGATGGCTGGGGTTCGTTGGAACTTTGCTACGCCGAAACAATAACCACGATGAGTCAACTCAACTTTAATGCGTCGTCGGATGTATGTCCTTAAGCAGACCGACGACCTGTTGCATCGTGGGTCTTTTCTTGCCCGACTCGGCCGTACACAAATATCCAACTCGGAGACTCTCCACCATCACTGAGTCATTCCCGATTCTCAACCTCGGGTCCAACGCCTTCAGCCCTTGTCTCTCCTTCACCAACCCTCGAGCCCAACTCACCGTCTCCTCCGTCCCGGGCTTCCCCGTCAGCAGCTCTATCAACACGACCCCGAAGCTGTATACGTCCGCTTCGGTGCTCCCGTTCTCTTCGTCCCATCGGAAACCGAAATCGGCGATTCGCGGTTCGAAGTCGTCTGCGAGGAGAATGTTGGACAGCACCAGGTGACCGTGGACCACCGGCTTCGAGCTAGCGTGGTGCAGGTAGGCGAGGCCCCGCGCGATTCCTACTGCGATCCGGTGGCGCGTAATCCAGCCTAGCTTCTCTGGAGAGGCCACGTCGGATCCAGTTCCTCCATCGTTCTGATGCTCCCACGTGTCCATGCTCCAGTCTTCCACGTTGGTGATCCCCGTCGGAAGCTCGTGGAGCCAACGGTGCAGATCGCCGTTCGCCATGAATTCGTGCATCACCAGCTTCTCTTTGCCTGCCACAGCCACAACCACGATAACATGGTTTGAGATCCATAATGCAGATTACGTCACAACAAACAAGCACCGTGGATTACGATTTCCGTAGTGTTGGAACCCGTGAAATCATTTAATAAGATAGGCCGTGGGACACCAAATAATAATTAAGGACTATAGTACCGTACCTGCAATGCAGTAGCCAGCGAGAGGCAAGAGGTTTGGGTGTTTAAGCCGAGATAGATTTTCGAACATGGCAACGGCATCGTCGTGTCCCACATCTCGAGCTTTCTCCAAGACCTTGATTGCCACGTGGATGTCACCTGGCAGCACCGCTCTATATACGGGCCCACTTCTCCCTTCGGCCAGCTGAGATTCCTTCCCGAAGTGTGACGTGGAAGCAATCAGATCCGTGAACGTAAGACTCATCAAAGGTTTCTCGAACATCACTACCGGTGCCGAGGACGGCTCTTTAATGTCCGCCACCCACGTCCCTGACTCGGTCTCGAACGAAAACGGTCCCGATTTGTCGATCTTAAACGGCAACTGGATCGGTTTCGAGATCGCCCACTTCTTCCTCCTGGCTATCTGTTTCTTCCGGTACACGCAAGCTATGGAAACAGCCATGGAGAGGACGACGAATGAACCTCCAATGGCTAAACTCAGAGACAGAGCTCTAGTTTTTGAATTGGATTTCTTGTTTTTGATGTGTTCGGTGCTGGGTTTGTGTTTTTCGGGTTGTTTCGGAGGTGAACCTCTGGAACTGAGGTGTGTCGACTGTGTTCTAAAAGGGACTTTCGGGGTTTCCAAAATATTGAGGTTACCGGCTTGAATGAACGAAGAGTTACCGAATTTTTTCAATTTGTCTGAACCGACCTGCCCGGTGAGGTTATTTACAGACACGTTCAAGAACTTGAGACTGAGAAGCGGAGGAAAATCATATGGGAAGTTACCGTTCATGGCATTGTTAGAGACGTCCAGGTACTGTAACGAGCGAAGGTTGGTGATAGGCTTGGCGCTCCCTGAAATATTGCAACTTGAGAGGTCGAGGGACACGAGCTTCGCGAGCTTCTCCAACCCAGAAGGCAAAACTCTGAGATCGTTATGCGACAGGTTGAGCACTTCCAGGTTCAAGAATCCCGACAGATGCACTTTGGTGAACCTGTTGTGCGAGAGATTCAACTTCTGAATCGACGACAAAGAGGAACCTGAAGCGTTTCTCGGCATGGGCTCGAAACCAATACTGCCTCCAAGTCGATTCATCGCGAGATTGACTTCAACAAGGCTCGGCATAGACCAAAACCCAGATGGAACAGACCCTTTCAGTGAATTGTCGGAGAGATCAATATATTGCAACTGCGTCAGATTCCGAAGAAAATTCCATAAAACAGATCCATTCAGATTTCTCGAGGGAAGCCTTATTTCCTTAATTGAAGGATTCAAGCAGTCCCCATCTCCAGATTCCAACAGCGAGACGTCAAATCCGGTTACGGAGTGAAAGGCTTTCGAGATCAACTCCCTGTCAGTAGTATTGCAACTAGATTCCGCGAAAACTACAAGAAGAGATAGAACGAGCACAACCTTGCAGAAGAGTTCCATTACAGAATCTTACTCGTTTGATTTCTCAGTATCGTTTCAAGTTTCAAAAGCCATGGATTTGCTTGCGTAGGGAGAGAGTGAGAGAGAGAGAGTAGAGTAGACGAAGGCGCGAAGCTTTTGCTCTTCCTGCAAGAGCTGTGCTTGTTGGTTGTTGCATATATTCCTTAAATATTTTTATACAACAGTAATTGACCATTGTCGGAGTTGACGGCCAAAAGATAACGGAGTAGGTAACGGCGGCATAATTGAATAATTCAGATTGGGAACGGTGTTCAACAGTCTTTCTGACTCTGGACTCAGGACTCTGACTCTTGCATTCATTTAACACCGGTTGATTATGCAAGGATTGCGCAACAGTTCCTCCTCGCTTTTTTTTTTTTTTTTTTTCTCTTTTTTCCACAAGATGATGTAAATGCCCACGATAAATTTTGGAATTTGCGCAGCTAACCCTTAAATTCAGTCTAAAGATGATGCCCAAGGGATGTCGTCGATCCACTCCAATAAGTTAGAGTGAAGTACGTTAACAGTTCACCAAAACGAAGTACGTTAACTGGTGTTGACGTACACCCAATTCACCAATCATGATGTACCGTTGATTTGGAATCTTAAGGTGGGGTCTTTAGCAAGATGGTCGGTAGAAGGAATTAGGTTAGGGAAAGGGAACACCGGAACAGTAAGTGGTGGTTGGGTCGTTGAGTTGGACGTTGGAGTTGGGGGGAGTTGAAAGTTTGCTCGAGGTGGGGACAGAGGACCACAAACAAACGGTCTGATCACTGGATGGAGCGTGGAAGCTTGTAATTAAAGGTATCTGAGTCATCTGACCAGGGAGTAGTGAGAGAAAAGATAGGTGAACAGAGCAGGAGAGTGAGGAGTCAACATCTGTGGGATGTGGACTGTAGAGGATGCCAAAGCGGTTGCCGTATGATGAAAGGGAAGATCTTTTGATGTGGGACCCAGGTCGGCATGGGGACAAGGAACGAATTTGGACGTGGGGTCGTGGACATCGTGGAATAAAGGCGCGATCCGAATCAATCAGACCATAATTTCGGGCGGGCTCCCAGCATTTACGAACCTATCCGAATTGGTTTGACTCACTCTGATCTTGTCGGCTGCTCCAAGTAGAGGCTAGGCTATGTCGCATTGTCCACGTGTCCTACGATTGTACGTCGATTTGGTTCAGCGTGATTTGAAATTTTGAATTCATCCGCTTTATAATTAGATCGAATATGGATTATTTGATCCAAGTAAAATTTGTTTGGATGTTGTATTTTTACTAATGTGTTATATAAGTTATTTTAATTTCGTTTTGTTCATAGTTTTTCATATCAAAATTGTTTTTAATTCTTTTTATAAATAGTACATGATATTTTGATAAATTTTAGGCTATTTATTCAATTGCAATCTGAATTTGAGATAAATCCAGTAGATAGATAAATTCAGTAGATAAGATTTGGTTCAAATCCGAATATTCATGAAATGAAATTTTGGTCGTATGTCTGATTTGATCTAATCTGTTTGCCACCCATGGTCCATGCCCTTTAGGTGGCTTCGGATTTTAGTGAAATTTTGGTTGCAAATATGGCAACGAAACCAAAAATGAAATTCTTGATAATTTTTGGAAGATTTTTCATAATTTAATTTCTCGTAAACAATCCCGCACGCAAAAATCGAATTGACCTTGAAGCATGCACAAGCACAGACTCATTCATATATTGTCTTGAAATTTATTTAGTTATAATGGTGGTGATAAACATCAAACACCAAATCAAGCTCTAGCATGTTAAGCAACAGTTTAAATCTAAAATTAAGGCTCAGTTTGGAAGGAGTATAAATATAAATATGTAGAGTGCAAAACCTTACATTTCGTATTATTTTGTATGTATTCGTATTAAATATATTTGTATTGTATTCTTTTCTAACTGAGCCTAAGTGGTTAAGTGTGGTCTTTGAATATGTTTTTATTAAATATTAATATAATTTAAAAGATCATAAAAAAGGTGTGTAAATTTCAAACTTTAGGCTGCATTTGGAAGCAATGAAAATGGAGTATATAAATCTCGGTTCAGGGTAAATTTGTATTTTAGTTCACTTGCCTGTATTTGGCAACATTACATTGATGCATTGACAAATGAAAGACCAATGCATATTTACATAAATAATAAGATGTAAAAGTATATTAATAAAAAAGAAGTAAATTTGCATTCAAGTGGACTTTTGATAAAAAAAAAAAACATATGCTTTATTGAAATTCATTTTTGCATTTGATGGTGCGCAATCCAGTCACTCCTAGCTGGCACTTGCATGGCTCCTGAAAGGTACCTGAGATGGAGAAGATGAGGAATTCTCGGGGGCTTGCCCGGCGGGAACACTCTGATGCTTAAGTTAGAGTTCTGTGAAAGATGCAAAAAGAGTAGAAGAAGTTAAGAGTGCAGATAGCGCGAGTATCAGAAAGATTACCTCTGTCCTTTGGGATTGGGCTACTTATAACAGAACTCTATTGAATCAGGCCCACTAGCCTCTGACAGGGCAGGTATAACTGCCACTATCGCCCTGTCGTAGCCGTTACAGCCAGGGTTGAGGTGGCACATGCGGGGCTGTCGTTGTAGGGTACATACCTGTCAAATGTAAGACACCCTCCAAAGGTGGCGGGCACAACACTTTCTGACGAGAGACATGGTTGCAGTCTCCAGGTTTGTCAGGTACGGAGGTCGAGTAGGAGACCTTCCTGCGATACGCCAAATTGCTCTTTTGCGAGCTACCCTACAAGTGGCGAGCTGCCTGTGGCAAGCTACACCGAGTTGTCTGCCCCGAGGTGTCTCTACCTCGGGGTATCTAGAGGCGGATCGGGGTGATCCTGTTTGGGAGTGGCCTAAAATCCACTGGGAGGAGCTCGGGCATTAGGAAAGGTCAGGGGACCCCGAGCTCGGAGGTAGCTCGGAGCGCCTCAGCCTTGGGGAGGAGGTGCAGGCCAGGTGGCTCTCAGCGAGTAGCCTAACCCGCCGAGTTGCTAGACTAAACTCGATGAGCCCTTCCCACCGATTTCCGGCTGCGCCTGCTGTACTATCACGCTGAGTCATCACTTGAGCAAGGTCATGCCCACGTGTACCCGTGCTACGAGGTCGGGCCAAATCACCCTCCATCAATTGCCCCCCACTCCCTGTGTTGGCGGTGTTGACCCAATGCGGGAAGTTCATGACGCGCCGGGTGGATTTGGCTTCGGTACTCATGCCACTCTGTCGTGCGCTTCGCCTAGCTGGACTGGTCCAGTGCCCGACTCAATCAAAAGAAACCCGGATCACATTCAGCTTACGCGTGGACATCATGCGGTTTGGACTTCGCGGACGCCAAAAAACGCGCTAAACTAATTTCGCCTCGAGGAGCCCATAGCCAATTTCTTTGAGAGCCGTTGGATCATCTCAATCTCGATCGTTAATGCCCGGACGCAGTGGCTATAAATAGTGGCGGACCCTTGGTCGCTTCTTCACCACAAAGTCTTCAACGTCAGTGTTGAGATCACGTATGAGGTTCTCTCGAAGAGGAAGACCAAGCTCCCTTTGTAGAGCTGCTTTGCATTGAGGCTTGCCAGTCTGAAGAGTCTCCACCGAGTAATTGGTGTCGCTATTAGATGCTAGGTAAACATCCAACTGTGGGTTCCATTCTTTTGCATCAATCCCATGCACGATGCCCTTCAGCTTCCAATCGCACTCATTTATTATTTGATGCCGACCCCAGTCACCTTCTTTAGTTTTCAGCTCCCAAGCATAACCATGGCATACAGTGACTACACTATCTGCTGCTTTCAGGCCAACTCCAAAGATATTGAAGTGTTTCCCACCTCCTAGGTCATGTAGTTTGAAATGATCTATGTAGTTTTGTGGGAGATCCACATAACGAAAATCGCTTACTGGATCCCGACCCTGGTGTGCTGTGTTGTGGATCACAAGAACACACCGGGTATACTTACAGAAGAGAACCTCAAGAGCAACCTTACAGAAGAGAACCATGCGTTTTAAAATATCCTCTTGGCCTCCCCCATATATATTTTTCTTAATATTGCGAAACATAGGGCTGCCCATGAACACAAAATCCATGCCATCAATATAAGCTTGAAAGAAAGTTACCTCCCTATCTTGCCCATCCACCTTATATCTCTTGCGCACTCCTATTTCTTGGACTTCTGCATAGTTACCATACCGTGGTGACCCAACCATAACTCTATGTCCACGCCGAGCCAAAGCCTTCGGTAAAGCCCCAGCAACATCGCCAAGTCCACCTGTCTTCGACCAAGGAGTGCATCCTGCAGGTATAATGTTCATGACATTGTCCCCGACCAAAGGAGGAGACTTTACAGTTTCATCCTTCGTGCGCTGATTATGAAAGAATTGCTCGCAGCGGTACAACCATCCCAGTGGGTCGTCGCTGCCACTGTATGAGGAAAACTCCAAACGACTATACTTGGGAATAACTGCGGTTGTCGGGGCAGCGATTTGCTGTTCGCTGGATGCCTCTGCCCAGTCCGGACGATGACTGTTTGTGTTGGCGATTCCCTCAGAACTCCTTTCTTTGTTGGAGAGGAATGCTTCCAGTAGGCATCGCAGCACCCGGACATCTTCCTTGACTTCACGAACCTCCATGCTGGTTTCTGCTAGCCTATGTTTCAGTTTGTGGACCTTGGATGATAGCTGCTCCATATCGCCCATGACGTTTGACTCTAATACCAAAATGTTATGGGCCCGCSCGTAGGATCTCGTCACGGAGCGGTCCACGGGGGAAACTCCTAGCCTTCCCTTGCCCTTCCCTTTGCGTGCTGACCCTATGGTGGCGAACTAGGGGGTGATTTGTCCAAGAGATCACCCTAACTCTCCTAAGCTCCTTTCTTGATCGAAAATTCAATGTCTTTACTTCAATTCGTAGCTCCTTAAATAGGAGATTATAGAAGGAAATTCCTTGTTGGATTCGGCTAGGCTAGGGTAATCCAACTTAAACTCAAACTCCTAATTACTTACTCCTAATGGTAACACAACTCCTACTTAAGATAAGATAAGATAAGATAAGATAAGATAAGGATAAGGGATGAGGAATGGTGTAGCTGGCGGTGAGTTGGCGAGCAGAGCTGATGTGGTAAGATAAGTGTGGACCCACCCTGATGAGCTGTCGTGTGGGTCCCGCCCTACTACTGCTATCGGGCGGCGTGCGCACCTCACAGTGCTGCTGCCGTGTGGTGCGTGCTACTGTCGTGCGGTGCGTGCTGCTGCCTAGTGCTACTGCCGCCCGGTGCATGTTGCTGCCTAGTGCCGCCATGCGGTGCGTGCTGCGCGCTGCCGGGCGGTGGGTGCTGCTGTGCGTATCGTTGCCTATGACTGCGCTGCAGTGTGCTGTCGGGCGATGTGTACATAACAAGCGCCTCAGCCTTGGGGAGGAGGTGTAGGTCAGGCGGCTCTCAGTGAGTAGCCTAACCCGTCGAGTTGCCAGACTAAACTCGGTGAGCCCTTCCCACCGAGTTGCGGCTGTGCCTGCTGTGCTGTCACGCTGAGTCATCGCTTGAGCAAGGTCATGCCCACATATACCCGTGCTATGAGGTTGGGCCAAATCACCCCTCTATCAACATCCATTACAATTAAAAGTCTATTTGATAAGAATGTAAATTTGTCAATGCAAAACTAACCCAACTTTACAATTTATTTAAATTGTTTTACACTCTACATATTTGCATTCATACTTATTTGCATCGTTTTCAAATGCAGCCTTAGAGTGTTATTCTATTGATTACGGACCTTTCTACCAATAGTAACTAGGAGACTTCTTCAACCATTTACAGAGACTATTCAATCCCATACATTCTATCATGGATTGGACCACTTCTTTCTTTTTTTTTTTTTTCTTTAGAAGTTTGGAGCAGTTAGGAAGCGGTTTCAATGGTTAAAATTTTATTCTTTTACAGAAAGATGACTTGTTATCAAGACATGACAAACTTTTGACTTAAAAAAAGGGTATAGAATGGAGCATGTGGGTAACCTTTTTGATTTCTCTGGCATCCAATCCCCCAAAAAGAAAAAGAACGAAAAAAAAGAAAAGAACAGATTCCTGCTTACTAAGACATCTCTACTGCAAACACATGCCCTTTGTCAAAATTCCAATGTTAAAACTGAAAAAAATACAGGGGGCGTTTGGCAACCCTTTTCGCATTGTCTTTTGGGTTATAATAAGTTTGAATCGAAAATCGGTCTTTTATTTATTTGGCAATAAAAAATTGGAAAGATGAAAAGACCTGAGTGTGGAAAGTCCTGAAAAGACCGAAAATACTGAATTTCAAGAAAGTTTAGCTTCAAATAAAGCATTCTGGTCTTATTGCATGATATAACTTCTAAACATGTAATTTAAAAGCGTAATAGATTGAGCTGTTTGTCAAACCATATTTATCTTTAATGATAAGACCCAAAAAACTCAATATATTCTTTTGGTAATTTACTAAAAAATCTTTATAAAAAGACTTACCAAGCGGCACTGCAATCTTCCACCGGTAATGACTTATATCAATAAGAAAATCACTAAAATAGGGGTAGTTATCATCAACAAGAAAAGGACTCTCTTCTCTCTAGGTCGCTCACAAACACATATAACAACATTGTTTAAATCATATCTTAGATGTTGGTATAGAATTTCTTGAACTGACTGACCCACAATTGATTAGACCTTTGAGAGAATTTTCTGTCGTCGGTACGCTGGAAGAAAGATTGAAACAACTTCACCCCGATTTCACAGTGAATTGTTTGACAATTATAGACAAATTCATATTACTTTTATGATTTTATCAATAATATACGTGGGATGGAAAGTCTGAACAATTTACAGGAAAGAATGTTTCATCTCAGAGAAAGTCATTTCCTAAATACAAATTGACTCCAAATGGAAATTGATACAAAGGACTTGACCAAATCCCAGTCATCATCTTAACGAGGAAAGACCCAAGAGACCAGTTTCAAAGTTTCAGTAATCACAGAACTCAGAAGAACAACAATGGACCCAAAGTAGATTCTCTAGGTATTTGTTTATTTTATCTTACATTCTCTTCTCTGCTCAGTCAAATTTTCAATTTCTTATGTGAAGATTAGTTTCCTGAATCTATTCAATTTTCCCAAATGGTAGTGGCCCCACCATTTTCCCTTTATTTGGTAGTCTTGATCACCCACTCTACACCTCATCTAAGGCCCCATGTGGACACATCACCTGCCCCATCAAATGTCTTCTTTTGGATAGGCAATAAAAACAGAAAAAACCCTAAAGTTTTAACCTAACCCACATCAATCCAAACCAATACATCTGAATTGGATTGGAATGGTTATAATTCTCTGATAAAACTAAACCTTCTATCCCTTTTATCAGCGAAAAGCAGACCCATTGGGAAAATTTTCTAATCACTTTGTCTTATTCCCACCTTTATTATTAAATGTTTCAACAACTTTTTTCTTTGTTTGTCCGATCAAATTAAATATCTTAAATTAATCCTTAACACACATTGTCATTAGAGAGGCCCACACAAAGAGTGGCTCTGGTCTAGTTTTCTTATCAATATCTCCATTTCAAAATATGCAACCCGTATTGTCTTTTCGTTTGTTCTTTGTTCTTTGTTGTTTTTCTTTCCTTTTTTCTTCCTTCCTTTATTTTTCTTGTAAGCTGGCTCTTGGATTTTGGAACATTCCCTCCAAAATCCTGCACTTTAGCGTGCATTACTTAATTATACGTGCCATCAGTGTAGAACAATTATGAGTATTTAGTTTGACCAGTCGATTCATTCAAATAAAAATATAAAATGTAAAAATCATAAAAAAAAAATAATTCCATATAATCTTTTAAAGGTATTTCTCGCTAATGAATATATTTGAGGTAATTTTGGCCACCTGGCATTCCTTAAACCATTTTGGATGAAGACATACACAAACTGTCTTGTTTGATTCGAGTCTGTGGCATGAGTGAATGGCGCAAGTATCAGGTAGAAGAAAAGGAAGAGCAACAATGATAATAATAATAATAAAAAATAGTACTAATTAAGCAGAAACCCTAAACTCCCTCAGTTGGCAACTCGGTTGATGTTTTCTGTATGTCTCAATACGCACTTGGGTACCTTTTAATTCTTGCAAATACTTGTCAGAAATCCAGTAAGGGGATTAGGAAATAGCCATTTCAGAACTTTTTGATATGGCTGATGACCAGCCAACCTGTGAACCTGATCATGTCTCCTACTTTCCCATGCACACAGTATGTTCACCATCCTGGGTGTGTGCAGAGGCTCTCTCTCTCGCCTAAAATTCCTACCTGTCATAAAAATCAGTGCTCTTACCTATTAGTCGAGGCACGTGAAATACACATTATTGACAAAAAGATGTGTCCATGTTAACTATATATGCATGTTATCTACTGTCGAGATGTTGTTGCCTAGTAAGTGTATTTGCCTATATTCTTTTATTTGTCATGTAAATAAAGTAATAATCATTTTAACCATAAAAATCCATTATTAAAAGGGGTATTTTTGTTCCATTCAAGTGTTGGCAACTTTTCCCTTAGGTGGAAAAGTAATTTATCCACCTAGGAGATAGATATCACTTACCCGGAAAAATAAACTTTCTCTGATCCCCATATAAATCTAAAAAAAGAACATGGGATCTTGGTCAATGAGAACCAAAATCCCATTGACCAACTTTCCCCCCTCTCAAAATCCCAAAAAAGAATGCCCCCTTAGTTTTTCTTCCCTTCCCCTTTTCTTCTCCTTAATTTGTTTAGTTGATTTCTAGGGATGCATTACCCCTCAATGAGTGTAGTGCCCTTTGGGTTTCATTCAAAATAATAATAATAATAATAATAATAAAAAGATGGAGAAATTATTATAAAATGTTAAGCTCAGTTTGGAAGCAGTACAAATATAAATATGTAAAATGTAAAACCTTATATTTTGTATTATTTTGTATATATTTATACTGTATATATTTATATTTGTATTCCTTTCAAACTGAACCTACCAAAATCCTTATATTTTATATGTATTTGTATTTGTAGTCTTAAATTGAGCCTTAACAAGAATTTGGGTGCTACCACCAAATAATATATGAAATAAAATTGGCTGTTTCATTTGGATGGCCTGTGACACATTAGTTTACACAGGAGTTCACTTTTGCTACAGACGACAATGTTGTAATAAATGTGGGAGTTCATTTTTGCTTCGATACTGTCCTAGCACAGATTTAAAACAGAAAATCATGGCTTTGCAGTGACCCTATCAAGAAGTCACTTCATCTGATTCAAGTTAGGGCAATGACAATAAATCAAAAGGTAATTTCATCTAATTTAAAGTGGGGCTACGACAGCAAATCAAAGGGTTGATTTAAAGAGAATGACCAATCAGCCCAGAGTCAGAATTTATAGGTTTAAAGTACTGTTTGGGTAGGTATCAGCTCGAAATTGATACCAATTCATGGGCGGATATTAGTGCATAGAATGTAGATTATGGTCCTTTTAAATATTTATAACTCTGCAGTGTAATTGGATAAATCCGTACTTCTCCATTAAATGCACAGTTGTAGCAAATGTGAATTGTTTAAGGGCTCGAGGCTCGAATTGGTTGGTTCCACATCCCCAACTAAAACCTATTTCGTAACTCGGATCAGGCCCCCGCTTCGCAGCTTTCTTGGGTCTGAGGGTCTCTTCT